TCAGTTCTGTTCTCAGAGTATTTCATACCCTAGAGGAAACAGGATGGGTTTCCATTCAGTTGTTGCAATGGACATCATCCACAGTTCTAGTTAGAGCTGCCCACCGTCTCACTATCTCTGGTTGTACCTGTCTGTCTATCACTCTTTCCATCTCTGTCCTTTCCCACCTGTCCTCTCTCTTCCTCTTTCTCCTTCCTCTTTCCCCTCCAAATTACCAGGGTGATAATCCAGGTGGGCTACAGCAAACACAGAGCCAAGAGTGACAACAAATCTGCTTAACTGATCCCACGCTTCCACATAAAAATCCAGGCCAGGCCAAGCCAGGTCACACCAAAACTGGGCTTGAACAAGTCGAGCAGGTGAGCAGCCTCTGGGTTAATATGCAACAGAGTGGAAACGCTCCCAGATCTTGTTCCCTCTGAGGGTGACCAAGGACTAACTCTCTGAAGCGCATTGGGGGTAAATACAACATAGAGGGGTGAGAGATGGGTTGGAGGGACGGGGGTTCGACCACTTGTCCACCCGGGTCCTGTTGGAGCAGCTGTCTGCATTTACAAACCTTTCAAGTCCCCAACACTTTATGTGCTATGATCAGCTGCTACCCTAAATAACACTCCAGCAATGTCTGTACAACACACAGACATCCTGGCTGCTATTAAGGCCAGTGTGGGAGCCAGGTGAGTCAGCCGCGCACCCTCTGCTACGTTAACCAGTTCAACAGGACTTGTCCAGTTAAACACCTGAACCACCCTTTCAAGTTGTCCCCTTCAGCTGCCAAGGGCATCATCCAAACCAATTCCTGATTATTCATCAGGGCATGATGAGAAGAATTAATTAGGCCGAAAGCATCACATCATCAAGAGCCGGAAGACATTTTTTTCATCCATGGTTTACTGCTGATACAGCCCACCACTAATCAACCCCTGACTTCCATTCAACATTCACATCCACCGCCATAATTTGTGGCATTTGAATAAAGAAAACAAAGCAAGCAGTTCAGGTCAAAAGATTGAGGAAATAATAGCCTAAAACTACTGAAAAAATGTCAAGGCGTCATGACTCAATTACATATTATCTGAGCAACTCTGTTGATTGTAGAAAGCATGAGAGGATGCCATCTGGGAATATATCCCTTTGGTCTCTGGTTCAACAGCTCTTAACCCCTGCTGCTCTGTATGGGAGAACTGGGACAGAGGATATTCATTTCCACTGTCTGCGAATTGACTCTGATTAACAGGGGAATCCTGAATGTGCCTCTGCTGAGCTTGCTTTAACCTCCCCATTCATCTATTACTGGGATGTCTTTCAACATCCAATTTTATCTCCATCTCCATCTATATCAAAGGCAGTGCTCCCTCCTCTCCTTCTCCTTCTTAATGCCGTTGTTGCTTCCCACAGATCCCAGTCTCAATGTGCGATATGTCTGTGCTTTAGCACAAAGTGAACCACACACAGCCAATTCCAATTTAGATGATGCAATTCTTTAGTAATGCGTATCCAGAATAAACTGTAGCAGATTGCCTATTTCAATAATTTGACCCACAGAGCAGTCTTTTTGGTCTCAGGGAAGAATGATAATGTAGATGATGGAGCCTGGTGAGTATAATATACTGCCTGTAGAGTATCAATGTAAATCTAGGTCTAGATTTTAAATAGGACATTAACTCATGAACAAGCTCAGTGGAACATATTCTGATGTTAGCTTAGAGTGGACTAAAGGTCTAGTTTTGGCCCTGTTTGGTCCTGATTGCAACTGGTTTCAGAGTAGCTAGAAAAAAGGCCTGGGATATTGATTGCCCCCTAGCAGCTTTCTGCTGAGGTGAACATCTGCTGCCCTCCACAATCAATCACTGCCGCCGGGGGTGCCACCCAGAAGTCCACAACCAGTTTCTGAAATCCTCATGCCACTCAGGCTTAATATTTATCACATAACTCTTAGATGATAGTATTAGGTTTCACTCTAGGATGGGAATGAGAAATCTCCACCTTCACGAAATATAGATTGGGTGGATTGATCCTATATCGCACAGTAAAATGTAAGCACTTCACACCCTGTACACATGATCCCAGTGTGTGAGTGCTAATATACTGTATGAGACTCACAAATGTAGTGATATTGTTTCCACTATATATGCATTCTCCTCACCTTCGTGTCTGCTTACTCCCCCACCCTCTTAACCCCTCTTCCTCACTCAATCCCCTGCAAAAGCTGGTCACAGGCATCCACCATCACTATCCCTCCTGCTTTGCCATGCTCCAGCAAAGCCCAGGAAACAGCAGCATATACAGTAGTTGGTCTGCAGGGAGAGTGAGAGGGTGGGGGAGGGGGGGGGAGAAGGAGGAGCGGAATTGAATGGGGAAGCGGGAGATGGAGGGCAGGGGAGGGGGGATTCTTTGGGAAGGGAGCCAATCCAATTACAGGCAGCGGTGCAGCCCTGGTTTCTTTGGCGGCACTAAATTCACATTTCAACGGTCTCTTCCTCCTTCCCCCAGTACCTTTCTCGTTCTCCTTCGATCTCTGCCTCTTCCTGCTACTCTTCTTCTTATTTTTTCTCATCATGGCTCAGACTCACACCTCCTAACCGTGCATCCACACGAACCACACCCCTCCCTTTCCCCATCTGTCTGTCTCTCTTGGTTGCATGAACAAGGTAAAGGTATTGAACTGTATCACCAGCAAAGCATCTTGTCACCCTATAGCTGTATCATGCTCGGATCCGAAGGAAGCCTGCAGCATTCCCATATGTGTCTTATACAACTCTGTAGGAGTTTATCAGGCTTCTGCAGAGGAGCTGCAGCCAGGGCTCATCAGGTCACCCTATCCCTCTGCCCTGCCTGTGACACCCGAGGGAGTGAATGGATAACACTCTCAATGTAAACCCATGCATATTTCAGATACACTGAAACCCAGGCAGACAACTTAACAATGAAAATGTGCAAAGTAGTCCTCTTCCTACCACTACTGTCATGCAGTATTATTGAGTATTCATTGCCTATAACAAAAATAATGCTTTCTTTTTCCACACTGGTGTTGACTGCTACAGTAGGTAGGCTAATTGTGGCCATTCTCTCTTTCATGCACATTAGGTGGAGAGTCAGCGCTTGTTGAATCATGTGCCTGCATGCAAATCACGACTAGTCCTTGTCCAATAACGTACCTTCATGCAAATATTTTGCACAGTGTTGGCAGAATCAGATGATTTCAAACAAATTAGGTTCAGACCAAGTGTATAGAACAGAGGTGAAAACTCCTTGCTGAGAAAAATATGAAATGTTTCATTACTCTTAACATTGATGACTGCTTTCTCTCACACCTTCAAAATACCTAATGTTGATGGCTAGTGTTCATGCCACCCTTTTCCAACTTCTATCATAAAGTGAACTTGCTGCATTTTCTCATCTTGGCAACCCCATGGTGAGAGGATGATAACTAATTAGGATGACAACAAATGAGATGATTGCTAATGTGTTGTTCTGTTGGTGCAAGTGGTATTACTACCCTATTATGTTGTCATGTGGATCAGTCTCTGTGGTTGAGTGTTCTACAAGGTTTCCTGTCTGGCCACTAGACCGAGTTGCCCATTCTCTAGGTACCCTTCTCATATCTTGGTTAATTCCTCCCCCATGTTAGCGTTACTGTGGTTACAGTCATGCCCCTCTGAAGAGCGAGCCTAAGTACACAGCAGCACGCAAGGCTATTTTGCATGGATTGAAGGCAGGCGGCAGCTACAGACAAGAGTATGGAAGGAAGCGGGGAGATAAATACAATATGCAAGCACCAGCAATACAGTAGGGAAAACACTCTTTTCTGTCTCATCTAATTTAACCAAGTAGAAAAAGGTGCTAAATTATTAAACAGCTCAAGCAGGGGATTACACTGAATGAACATTCTCTCCACCATAGCCTGATTGGTGTATTGATTTAATTATGAATACATGAAGACCAAAATAACCCAGGCCAACACCATTTGTGTTACATTGCCAGGCTTGAAATAACAAAGACCTTGCCAAAAGTGGTATCAAATTGGTTTTAGCAACTCTCCCTTTCTTTTCAGTACCTTCCACTGAGCTTCATGCAGCTGTTAGTAGGGGGAGGGACGACTATATGAGCCAGTTATGGCCCTGTGACACACTCCTGCTGTCATTCAAAAAGGCACCCGCCACGCGCTAAGCATCCAAGTGAATACTGACAAATCCTTCAACCAGCTGTCTAAATGTAGTCTAGAAAGAACCATCAGTATGCAAGACAAAGAACTGTTGTGACACAATGCACACACAAATACATATTATCTACATTCAAATACATCATTATCATTTCAACATTCGAGATATAATCTAAGCATCAGCTGTACGGGGTGATGTCAGAGCTAAAACAGTGCAACAGCTGCTCTAAATTAATCTGCAAAATATACACACTTCTGATTGACAATCTCACTCCTTATGTGATCCAAACCCAGAGCATAGCACTTACTTTCCCTACTATTCAATTCTGTCAAAGAGAAATCTCATCTAATACCTTGTTTCCTGTGGCTAGGGTGCAAAATCTATCATTATTAACCAGCCAGCAGCCCTTAACCCTCTACGGCATTTGTATTCTCCAACCAAGACTAGGAGGTTTAGTGCATGGCCTGCTGTCTTTTTTGCCTCTCAGTGGGCCACAGGCAGAAAGGTGCCTATTAAAATTAATGGGCCAGTGCAGGTTATTCAACACTGCGACACTGTAGTTCACTTAACAAGGAACTGGTAATGACCACTACAGTGAGCTAGCCATCGCCATTACCCTTCTTCGACGCTGTGACAGCATGCATTAAATATTAAGGAGATAAGTTTCCCTGTGACCATGATCCATCTGCACAGAAATAGGACCACTTCACAGTGTCTGTGCCCCATGGACCACTGGACAGCCTGAGTCCTTATGTATCACAGAGATGAAGTGAGAAAAAATCTCCAACAACAGGCCTTTAACTGCTGGGTAGGAAGAAGAAAGGAGTTGGTACTCACCTTCTTTAGACGTCCACTCTTGGTGCCCACAAAGGCTACACAGTAACCATTGTAGACATAGGAGGTTACAGAAGTCATGCGATCCCGAGTCTCTGTGTAGAGAGTGTGACCAGTCACCAGCTGAGAACCACCAAGTGGCTGGTTGATGTCCAGACCACAGAAAGAGTCGTCAATGGGCACCGGCTACAGACAGAGAAAAAAACAAAAGTTAAAGAATGAATAACAAGAAAAAAAAACGGAAACTGAAATACAGAAAGCAAATGTGTCACATTAAACACAGAAACCTATGACATGAAATGTACTGTATGAGGGGGGGAGTGACAAAAATACCTCAGAGGAGAGAGTAGAGAGGCTGAGACGTCACACAGAGTATTATAAAAGAAGATGGCTCAGTAAGGAGGAAAGATGAACTTGACAGAGTGAGACAGATGGAGAGAGTGATGGTCAAAGTTGTGGAAATAGTGGCAGTGTCAGAGAGTGTCTGAGATGGAATTGAGAGGGTGAGAGAGGTGAGCCTAAGAGAGAGAAGGAGGTCAGAGTGAGGTGGAGGTGTGCGAGTGAGTCTCCCAGCCAGACAAATGTTTGCCTTTCTGTTCCACTTGGCAGACATGTTTCAGCTTCGCCTGACTGAGCTCCACCTTGCTCTCACTGTGGCTCATTACCCTGGCCTATCATCACACCTCTGCAGGAAGACACATACTGCATGATAACTATGTGCACTGGCAAACACACTGCGTGATGACTGTGCTACCCTGAAATATGCACATTAGCAAAGAGGCTGCAATATAATGTATTTACCTATTCATTAGAAAAAAATCACTACCATAAAGTCAAGTTTGACTTCAGGAAATTTTGAGTGTGATGATGCTGTATGTATCTTACAAGAATTCCATCTGATAGTTCTTCTCAAACAAGATAGAAGGAGGTGGTGAATGAGGAGCGAGACAGTGGTCTTTCTGGTCGTGAATCAGGTCAGCTGAGACAGTGTGAGTGGCAGTGGCCTCAAAGTGCCACGTGGAGTAAGTGAGATGGCCAGGCTGAGCCCTAGCACTCCTCCCATGTACAGTATATAACCTATAGTTTCTTGCTCACAAACACTATCTTATTCTCCCTCTGAATATATATCCCCCTCTCTTCAACTCCAACTCATTAATTCTCTTTCTGTCACTATATCTATTTCTTGTCTGTCTCCTCTCTGTCTCGGTCTTCGTCCCTGTCAGAATGTTATAAGCAGACTATGTTGAATGACATTTCCCACTTTGGGAGGCAGCTCAGCCTCTCACTACACACCACGGCTGTGAAACCTTTCAGTACTACCAGATTTTCATGAGCAGAGTAAAAGCAATAATGCTGACAGGGAATAATCGCCTCCACTCTTATAGTCACGCCCCCCACTTTATGGCATTTCCTTTTATTTCCTTTCCCCAAAATAGCACAGAGTGCTAAGGGGTACTCCACTGCAGTATTTGAATTAGAAAAAAAATCAGGTAAGTTGACATTATTCCTTTCTCTTATGGTTATAAAATCAAATGTACTGTATATAACTGCTTAATGCTTGTTTTAAACATATGCTGATTAGACATGGACACACAGAATGAATCAGATGGGGGAAACTAGCAGCTATCTTGAGAAACAGCCGTGAGTTCCAGACTTTGGTTTATCAATAGCTACTTCCTCAAATGCATGCAGCTATTCCACAAATGGTCCGTTGGGCTCCAGAGCATTTGGTTCTGATTATATCTAGATTGTTTAGATGATGTACGCTTAGCAGACTTGGCAGCCAAGCCAAATCCCCCTGGACTCCATGTGGTTGAGTTTTCTTTTGCACCTTGTTGCAGATTTTTTGTTTTGTTTTGCCCTGCCTGCCTTATCACAAATCTCACAAGTAGTGAAGAAATGTAGATTTGCCACGTCTTAGTCTGTTTCAAATGATACAATTTACATTGGTTATCTTTGGCAGAGCTTTGTAGAGACAAAAATAGACTCTAACCCTGTGTGATTAATCCTTATCGAATAACTCACAATACAGTATAATATTTCATCTAGGATGAAAAACAGTTGTTACCCTGGTCTGCTTCAACATAATCTTGTTAAACAATGACATAAATTGTTCCATTTGGTGTGGAATTTGAATGAAGGATGAATTAGATGTGACAGGATATCTGCTCTCAGATTTTCCCTCCCAGGGTATATCAGTATTATCAATACTAGCTCCCCTTTGCTCTGACGAGTGGTTAATTAGTCTGTGGGGCATGAGCAAAAAGAAAGACAAGATGATAGTGTTAGTCGGAGAGACACGCACACACACACACACACAGACGGACAGAAAGAATCCCATCATGGCTCTCCTCCTTGGGAGTGACTACAGAGATGGTGTGAATCTCCAGATGGCAGAAGGCTGGACGGCTGGGTGATAAATCTTTGATTGGCTGCTGTATCTGAATCCACTGGCTCTGCCTCAGTTCCATTCCCAGCCTTAGCCTTGGCCTGCATGTAAGCGTACACACACTGAAATGTCTGCAAGAATGGAATGCGAGCCGTGGGTATAATTAAGGTTCTTTGCTTTGAGTTCACTGGCTACCTGCTGTTAGCAATGGACCAGAGGAAAGGCACTGGGACAGCATGTGTAATTTACTCAGAAACCAAGCGAGGTACTGTTAACAGTTAACAAAAAATACAGTCTCTCGGGTTGGTCTAGCCTTGTTTCACCTCATATTTTGACATGAGGTCTCCAAAAATACCGCACATAGAGATTAAGAAAAACAAGATGTGAAACATGTGTGCACATTAAAGCAGCCACACTGCTTGAGTTGGGGATTTAACAGCAAGCAAACAATGTTAGCAGGGATGACATATCCGGTTGTTAAATGTAATTTGTATAGGCTTTAAGAGTTCCTCATCCATTGACATCTATCTGCATAATCCATATTATACTATGGATTTATTGGCTGCTCAATGAGCATGAGGACATGGTCTTAAGGACTGTATTTTACATCGTCTTATCTCTGTGGCTACACACACAAAGCTTGTGTATCCTTGGTGTATGATGTGAAAGGAGAGCAGAATGTTATTGGCAGTGCATGCCTAGAGAATGGAGTGGGAGGTGCTGCTTTGCAGGTAACGGCTGGCACCCTTTGGAGCACACTGAGATGACTGGGGATTCGTCTGAGGAAGCCGGAAAAAGGTTCTAATTTGAGCTCACACAGACAGAAAGCCTCCCAACCTCAGGATCGTCACCGCTATATACCACCATTTCTCCTTCTTCCGCCTACTCTCCTCTCCTTCTTCCAATCTCGCCTTCTGCCTTCTCACTGGAGCTAATAAAACCCGACGGAACTAGTTTGAGATAATGTCTCCCTCCTCCTGACAATCACCTCTGACATTGTGCTAATGGGGAATTTACTGATTTTAATAAGAGTGGTCAATTGAGTGACCTGGGGGATTAGCAACAAAGGAAGCTGATCAGTGGCTCTCCTCATTGTGAGTATAGGGATATCATTAAATCCTAAAAACACATTAAGACCTACGGCATAGCTCCATCACACACACATATGTACACTTAGCATTCACAGACCTTTCCTACATACATGTAGACATACAGCACTGATACACATACACACGCATTGTAACTGACTAGTGATACAGCTAGTCATTAATTCTTAATATTCTTAAATTCCTATTAGCAATTACAGAATGAAAGCACAAAGGACTGCAGCCTCCTGGGAATGAGGGAAAATCAAGAAACTTAATTCTACTTGACAACATGTCGCAGATACATGGCCTTGTATTATACCATAATTAGGGATTTAAGAAGGAATAGTCTGGTGTGTGATCTATGCTAGCATCAGAAGCAGAGTAACTTAAGCGACAAAACACCCCCAACTACTTTTTCTCGCCGTGTGTTTATTTCTATTGTGCTCAAGGAGAATATTGTCACTCTGATGGTTGCCAAGAAAAATAACTCATCCCTACTTTATGAACATATCTAACACTGAAATATACTTGAAAGTGTGAGAACCATTCTACGCAAGGCAGCAAAAAGCATTTCCTTATGATTGCTGTGTTTGTTTTCAATTAGCGTATACGCCCTCAAAACATTGAACGCTGTGGTTTCTAGGCTCATTGAGAAGCTTTGGTCATTCCGTTACTGTTTATCTTATTTTAAGGAAGGAAACAAGATCTAGAGTTTGCTGGACCATTGTAGTATTTTGACTATTAAAATTAACAAAAGATTAATTATTCTTTTCTCTCTTGATTAGTTGAGGGCTGATTACAACGCATAGAGAATACAAACGGTCTACTGCAAATCAGTGAGATCCTGCTTAACCTTAAATTATATACAGATGTGCAAGAACGAACTGTGTAAATAACAATTTACATTTACCTATAAGAGCAGCTTTGGGCCGCTGATCGTTATGTGCGATAGCAGAAATGTCATCACATTGTCACCACATGGAAAAGGCATACCAGTATTTTGGTCATGATTATTTCCAAACTGTAAATGAGTAATAAGTTCATACCGTATGTCCAGTACATCTGAATATGTGTTAATGTCTGTGTATGTCTATTACTGTAACTTACTGCTTTGGTGCACTGCACATCCTTCCCAAGCAGCCAGTTGAGCTCTAGGTTTCCTTCTCCCTGGTAGCAGGACTGCAGGCGGTCCTTGATTCGTGCATTGATGTCTCGGATGGTGAACACGCAGAGTGCTGAGTCATCTGGCGGGCGATGAAACTGCTTCTGGCCCTTGGAGAAGATGGTGAAAAGCACATCATCTTGGGCGCTGATGTTGAACGAGGCAGCGAGAACACGGCCTGGTTTGCCGAGGTAGGCAGCCTGCAGTAGCCGGTATTCAACACCATTCTTCACACAGCCAACAGGGAGAGAGACGTAGGAGTGAAACTTGCGATCATCTTTGCAGAGGCGGACAATGCGAGAAGTGTAGAAGAGGTCACTGGTGGATCCGCTTGATGACATGCTGTTCTCTGGTGTCTCAGGCTGGACAGTCAGGAAGTAAACAAAGCTGCCACTGGCAAATCCGTAAACATAGTAGATGTCAAAGTGGGAGACCAGTGCCAGTGTGTCTGATGGTATCTTGATGAGGGAGGACACAAAGTCAGTGTGCAATTCATAGTCAAGCATAGCAGAAGATTCAGGGTCACGGGGCAGCTTTCGACTCGAGATGGTAGGAAAGTAGTCCTGTTTTCCATCCACTGCTGTGCCAATAAATAGGGTGCCATCCTGGCCCTGGGAAGGCACAATGACCCCATACATGGTCCCAGTCTGGTTGACACTTGAGAGGTAGTGCTCTTTCTTGTGGGAGGGCTCCACTAAGATAAAGAGGTCATCCAATCTGAGGAGTTTACAGACACCCTGGTAGAGGCTGCCACAGGCCAGCAACCGATTTTGGGAATAATCAATGAGGAGAAGCTTGTTGACATTGTTGGTAGGGACAAGGGGCTCTGAACAGGGCTGGACAATCAGAGGAGGGTAGCAGGCCTTGTTGTCATCCTCTGGGCCTGTATCATGTGAAACAAGGAGGGTCAGGTTGCCTGACAGCTTGTACACACGGTTGACTGCTCCAATGTACAATGCTCCTGTAGTTTGGTGAACGGTCAGGTGGTTGAAGACCCAGTCCCGACGTTCGGGGTGAAAACTAGCAAATGTCTGCCCACTGCACAAGGTAGGCATTGCTATAAGCCAAAAGCCTAGCAGAGTAGCTGTAGCTCCTACTTTAGGGTCAGGTGATAAAGTCCTGCGTGTAGCCCGCCGGCCCTCCATGTTTAACGGGCCTGCGAGGAAACTGCAGAGGAAGCAGAGAGAATGGATGAGGGGAAGAAGGGAGGAGACCTTCGCCTTTTGGTTGTTGAAGGCTTACTTGCAGGTCAAATATCCGCAAGGGTCTTCACATGTTTCTGGAAAAGAAAACAAGAAAGAGAAAATAGGTTAGATATCCCAGTATGACTCACATGATGAAACACATATGATCAAATGGAAAATGCTCTTCATTAGAAATGTTGTTGCTTGAAAGGGTCAGAGTTCATCCTCAGTATGGCAATGAGTTATAAAGAAGAGGAGTGGAGGCTTAAATAGACAATAGGAGGAAACCATTATGGTGCACATTCCAAAGGAGTTGCTGGACACGGCAGGACAATGCAGGAAAGAGAGGCAGGTTACAGCAATGGAAATTAGCCTGACCTGACTCATCCTACTGCTGCTGCAGTCACCCACTCAGCGTGTGGTTTCTAAGAACAAAACAACATCTAACGCAGACATTGCCCACAGACTCACATTTCACATAAAGCCTTGGAAACTTGGCACTGACTCACCAGACTTTTTGATAATTTCTTTTAAAACTTTAAAACTTTGGTCTTGGAAATTGAAACTCTATTTCATTGAGAACATATCTAATTGGGGCTCCTGGATAGTTCACGTGGTAGAGCTGGTGCCCCATGTACCAAGGTGAGTCTTTAGTGCAGTGGCTATGGGTTCAGCTCCTTCCTGCAACCTTTGCTGCGTGTTAATCCCTCTCTCTTTCTCTTCCCCCTTTCCTGTCACTATCAATTAACCCTCCCAAAAAAGAGCATATCTAATTTACATACAATTACAATAGCATATTAGTATGACATAAAATGAGGCATTCGTTTTGCTAGTCAGCTATAAAACAAAGCAAAACTTAATAAGCCAACAATAAATGCCATACTAGATATGAAATAAGCACACAGCTGAAATTCCTGTGCTCTTTTCCTTTAAAATATCAGCCTCTTCATTTAATTTCTACATTCACCCCCTCCCTCACATTTTTTCTCTGACTACAATCCATCAAACAACATCCCTATCTTTTGTCCCCTTTCCATATCTATCTGTAAAAACATACATCAAGCAAAGTCTGCAATTTATGCAACCATGCTCAGCCTGGGTTGTAGAGATCTCTCTCCGTGTGCCATAAACCAAGAGCTCTGTGCAGTCTGTCCCCAGGAGTTAATTATCTCGTCCATTGGAAAGGAAGGCCTGGATCTTATTACTGGAACAAAGTGAGAACAAATTGGGAGCCACTTCCACACATCCCTCCCCTTGCTCTCTGTTCTTTAAGGGGCCTGTTTTACAGAATCTGGATCTATTAAATATTATTTTCTAAATGTTGCTTTTGTTTTTTATTCTTTTATTCTATTCATCTCCTGCTGACATGATCAGATTGTAGAGGGATTAATCACTGGCGGCACAACAATCATCTTTAAATGAATCAGCTACCGTATTAGATCTGTACACAGCTCCCTCACAAAACAACCAGGCAACAGAATATACAGTATGTGTTTGTGTTTGTGTGCGCCTCATTCCCCCAGTATTATCAGTGTACTCTATCAGAACCAAGCAGTGTGAGGGGCTAACAAGTGGAGACAATGGCAGTGCATCCCAAAATCAAGTATGATTAGGCGTAGCGATCCAACAAGGGTAATTACTGTGGAGCTGGAGGAGGTAAGCTGGGGAGCGACATGGGGACGCCAGGGGCTTGAACGTGTCAGAGATGGCCCTACATCGTTTGTCACGCTCCAGATTTGCATTTCCAGCAGTGAGGGCACAGAGAATCAAGGGTGAAAGATGTGGCTGGAATAATCAACGACTGCGCCTGAATTAACAAGCGCTTGCAACTGAAGATAGTAAATGAGCGTTATATGGAGAGATACTGCATATCAAGGCTACTACAGCGACTGTGTTCAAGGCAGGTTTGATTTGCAGAGCCGATTTGGGATTCCCTCTGAACCATGACTGCCCTTTCAAAGACCTCATTCCAAATCTGGTAATGGCCATCTTGGGGTCCCTCCCCTCCCCCTGTGATCAACGGGTACGCTACTCAGCTCAGACTTAAATATAGACCCTTAGGGAGTGTATTGATCCATGTGTCCATAAACACAGGTCCTAAGGCCCAGTCAAGCTGTTCTTGGCGTGTGTGCAGGCAGAGGTGTGGGAGGTGCTCTGTCCCAGAAGCACTTTATTAGCATGGTCATAAAAGTGCCATTGCCTCTAAAAAATCAGCAAGAGCCAGACCCCCACCATCACTTTCAGCTGCCTGTGTGCTGCCATGCTCCTTTGTTTGAGTTTGTACATGCTAGATGTGCAAAGTGGATCCCTTTGGTGGTATAATCAGCCTCCTGCTGAGCCAGCTTTTTGCTTGAGCCCGGCAGCCTTTTTGCCCTTTAGAGCTTTTGCTACACCCCCACCCCTTAATCGTATATGTGTATACAACATTTACTCCCATCCATCTTTTCTTCTTCTCTTTTTTATTTCTCTTTTCTTCCCCAGTCGTTGGTAGGAATATATGCATTACTCCCTCATGTTGTGGCAACAGCTGCAGAGGCAGAGAAAGAGAGTGACTGAATGGTGTAAATAAAAGGCTCCACAAAGGTTATCCATTCATATTGCGTTCGGTAACAGAGGGAATGAAGTCTTTGTTTAAGTTGATTGCATGACCACCTCTTTGTTGCACTTGACAGAGACTTCTCTGTACTATGCAGCTGAGGAGTAGACTTGAAAAGAGTAAGAACAACACCGGATCACCCCTTGTGCTCTTTAGTTCAAAGCCATGTCTTTCTTTTGTTTATGAGGAGTCAGAATTACCGAGAAGGAAATTAACATATAAATGCAACCAGGAATGATTCATACTTAAACATAGTTACCTACTGACCTAGAAAAAGAAGCGGGCATGACTGCGTTGGTAGTCAATAAAATTATAGGTGAAGTAGAAGGCAGACAGCATTTTCAGCTTTTAATTGCAAACATAAGTCAGCAGTTTGACTATTTGCAATATCAGCATTTTTTTTACACACAGTGAACAGTTGTCTGTGTGTTTCAGACAACACCAAATACAAAAAGTCTTGGTTCTGAAATAAGTTCAGTTAGTTGATGCATCACAATTGTGGTGAGGAAGACAGATGGACTGTCTGGCATGATGACAAACTGTCAACAGCTTCAGTGTGTTATATCATATAAGAATATAAAATGCCAAAAAACTCTCAAAATATCATCATCAGTAGATTTCCATTTTAACACTCATCTGACAATCTCTTTGGCAGACATGGAAGGCAAAGAAAGAAGAGCATCAAGTCAAGAGAGACAGAAAGGCATTCATATACCAGTGATCGTGGCTCGGAGAAAAGACGTTTTTTGCAAAACTTTCCATTCATAATGAATAGTCAGGCACACAAAACACTGTGTTGGCACACTCAGCCAGGCTGCTTCTGAGTGCTTGTTAAACAAACTGGTCCCACTGGCTGCCTGTGCTCCGTCACTGTGGCTGGTTGTGGGTCCCTGTGCTGAAATGCTGGTGATTTCCCCAGCCACTAGGCAAGATGCAGTGGCCGTGCCAACCGTGGTCAAAGGGAGCTGCATTGTGGCCGATTATTCCATGAAAAGATGCTAAAGAGCCGCAGAAAGAATAGGCAAGGCAAGACATGAGAAAATGTGAGATGATAAGCTATGCAAACCATCACTGAGGGTTGTGGACACAACAGCCTGAGGGCAGTTCAGCAGCTAGCAAACTGAATCAGGAGAGAAAAGGCTTCAGGAAGTGGCCTCTGGAGAAGGAGCAGCTCTGCTTTTGTGCCTTTTTTTATTTTTTTTTGCTTTTTTGTCCCCACATGCTAAGCTTCTTAACAATGTAGCCAAATTTGCTTGATCTCCTAAATTCATATTTACAGCAATTGTACTGCAAAAGATAAAGAACATAAACCAAAATCCGTTTACGCTGCTAAATCCATTGTTGTTTGATAGGAAAAGGAAATGGAAGATTGTAATTTCATGCCTTGGATTAATGTGTTATTCCCTGAATGATTAATGTAAAGCGTGAAATCTTAATGCTTAAGTAAAAGTGATACGCTACAAATTAAAGAGACAACTTGGAACAAAAATCAACAAACCAGCTAGTCAAAAAAAGTAATAGGTTTAAAAACGTTAAACGTTTTGGTCATTGCATGGTAAGCTTTTTTCAGTTGATGTAGCCCCTTGCAAAGTAAAAATAGAAAGTTTAATCTTCCCTAAAGGAAGATCTTCTTCTATAGGAGCCTATAAAAAAGCGATTAGCAGCAGAGGTTAGTCCATTACTCTTCTCTCTTTGCTGCTATCAAGAGCAAAGATAATGAGAGGACTCGCTGGCTTCTTGAGTTGTTGAGTTATATTTATACATTCTTTTGTCTCAATAGGAAATGGATTTCTCTGCTCCAGTGCCAGCTCTATCCGTCAGCTTCCAAGAAAACTCAACATATCTTTGCGGCATCCATCCATACTTCCAGCCTCCACAAGTAAATGACACAGTAGCAAAGCGATAACACCCTCAGAAACCACAAGATCTCCGCTAACTGATTTCATTTCACTCTGTCTGGTTTCCTGTGCTTTGGTGTTGGAGGGGAGTCATTTAGTTATTTAGGCCTAATGTTTCCTTCTGTGAATTTAAAATTCCATCACATGATGGACCCTAATACTAAATAGGAAATAGATTTGACATTACTGTCAACAAGACTTGCTCATAACGTCAGAGCAGTGCAAACACTGCTGTTGCTAATTTAAAGCCATCATTGCACACATTTTTTAACATGGGCTTTTTATAAACTGTTGTTTTTGTTTATCTTTAGACATGATATGTGCATGGCTCAGAGCTACGGCTAAAAGAGTTGTAATTTAGTGGTGCATAGTAAATTAATGTGCACTTGTCCACGATTAAGCATGTGCTCTAAGGGCACTCTAACAGAGCACTTTACATCCAGTGTTTAATAGTACTAGCTTTGTTAGTGACCCATATCAGTGTACTTTCTCATGACCATCTGAGTTTAGAGGCCTGCAGTGAGGCCTTCAATTGCTTTTCACTGAATTGCACCCATTGAAAGCAGTCACAGTACTTCTCAGTCTCTCAAGAGTTATTTAC